CTGTCTGTCTGTCTGTCTGTCTGTCTGTCTGTCTGTCTGTCTGTCTGTCTGATTGTCTGTCTGTTCGTTTGGTTTGTGTGTGTGTTGTAGACTGTCACCACAACAAGCTCTTTTCCACCCAGATGAGCAGATCCAACATTGAATTAGCTATACCTCAATCGCAAACAACATGAAGCTCTTTAAGATGAGCAGATCCAAATGGAAACAGCTTTACCTCCATAGCAAACAACGTGAAGCAGACTAAAACCGTTATTTTGCCTTTTCCTTGAACATCCCTTTCTTCATTTTTCTCCCTTTGGCTTTCGTTGTGGTACCCCTCCATCTCTTCTTGCAGCTCCCCTTTTACTGTGCCTCTGACGTACAAGGCTTGCCACTTTGATTGTGGTCGGGCGCAAGCAGCCCACATCCCTGTGTCCCATAATGGCCCGCTTGCACGTGCCAGAGGGCAAGCTGCCCACATCCCGGTGTGCCATAATGCCCTGCTTGCACACTGTGAAATGAGGCAGAGTAAAGGGGGAAGGTGTACTCCTGTTCAATTTTCAGCAGATCTTCAGCTTATGCTTTGTCTGTTCTCTAAATGATGCTTATTCCTATGCATTTAGTAGTAGCACTACACAAGGGGAGGGAGGAAGGAAACGAGAAGAGGAGTTCAGAACATAGGAAAGACAATCTTCATAGGGTTCTGAATCCTCACCGCCAGAGCAGACTACTATAGAATGGCACTACAGGCCAGTCGGTGTTTGGGTTGCAGGGGAATTTGACTCGAGGAGCGGGTGTTAGCCTATGGTTTGCGGCGACCCCCGACAGACCAGACAGGACCGGTTTGGGTGTGCACTCTGGAAGCTCCGCATCCAATTCTCTCACTTGCAGTCGCTGCATGGAATGGCACAGCTTAGACAGATGTCACAGGCCACGTGGCTCCTACATGCTAGGGACACAGAGGCACACCACTGTATACTACAGTGTATAGGCATTGGTGTTCCAGCCGATGTCTATAAATAGCACACCCCATGCCAGGGTGTCGTACATGAGTACAATGTTGACTGTCATCATACGTGCGAAAACAAAGACTTGCATGGGCTATAGCCGCTAGACCTTTTTTTTTTTTTTTAAATACCGTAATATGATGTACTAATATCAAGTTAATAATCCTTAACGACATAAAGCATGCGAATCACGTGGTAGCTGAATCTCAGGTGGGGCGTTGCACATTGCGGCATTGAGCATGTTTGTTGGGTTTCTGAAGGCCATATTCCCTCTCTATGGCCAGGCGGCGGGGGCTGATCCAAAGTAAGGGTGTTTGCGATTTAGCTGTTGCAAGATCGGCTCTGCAACAGTTCGCCCTGGCGGCAAGCCGCTTTCACTACAGCGTGCTGCAGGCGATTCTTGTGAGAGTGTTTTCCAGCTCAGGCTGCTGCATTTGTTGCTGACCTGGCAAGGATGGAGGAGATCCGATTATGGGTGGCGCTGCTGTAGGATGCCCAACGTTCATGTGGGATATGAACACACAGGATGTGGTGGGGGTGATGGCATCGGGGATAATCCACTCAGCAGATGACACGT